TCTGACACACAGGGTCAAGCAGGAGTTACTCCGTGACCCTATTTCAACTCAGGGCACCTGTGCTTTTAACTGTTGGTCTTGGGTCTTCAGTCTAGGTCACTGAGAGGGTTGGAGAACTTGACAAAAAGTCCTCAAAATGTCTGTTTCAGAGTAAAAAAAAACCAGTGTATCTTATTTTATTATTGTTAATGTTAGTATTGTATTATTTTCCCATGGCTATTATGACAAATTGCCACAAATTGGTGGTTTAAAACAAAACAAATATATTATCCTATAGGTCTAGAGGCTATAATTCTCAAATCAATGCTACCAAGTCAAAGTCAAAGGACTGCGGGGGTTGGTTCCTTTTGGAGGTTGTGAAGGAGAATCACGCCCCTGCCCGTTATAACCTTGAGAACCCATGATAATCCTTTGGCCCAGAGCCCCTCTTCTATCCCCAGAACTGCAGTGTGTCCTCTAACTCTCCCTATCCCTCTGCTTCAGTCAGCACCTTGCCCCTCTGTCTGGCTCTTACATTCTCTCTTACGAGGGTGTTTGTGGTAACACTAGACCGCCCTGGGTAATCCAGGATACTCTTCCCATCACACCATCTGATCCCTCCCTTGATCCCATTTGCCAAGTCCCTTTTCCCATTAAGATACTTACGATTCACTGTTTCAAGGATTAAAACATGAACATCTTGGGAAAGCAACTGCTCAGCCTACCGTAGCTGCTGTCCCTGTTGCCCAACCAACAGCCTCATCTCTGTGGATTTTGAGACTCAGGGACGTCCACAGGGATTGCCCAGTTACTTGAGGCCTCTAACCTCAAATGGTGTGGGTCCCCCAGAACAGCATTCTGTCCACAGATGCAGTCTTGGGATTTTACAATAGTGGCCATGACCAGCAAGTTAGGGGTTCTTCATAATGAGGCCAGGGCAAAGGTGAATTTTCCCAGCCTTCTTCCATTATAACCTTGGCTTCTTCAATGAAGCCAGCTAGCAGGGCACAAGATAAGTCAAAGGAGAGAATATAGCTGGATCTGCACGGCCCCATTCATGCACTGCAGTGTGGGCATGCAGAGCTGTCTTCATTTGCTCCATTTTATCATGGTGTCTCCTCCCCTAAGCAGGCACTGATTAAAATACATTGATTTTAAGCTTCTCACACTCTGCAGTTTGACTTCCTTGAGATTAACATCCCATTTGTGAAGCTTACTCATTTCATCTTAAACAGAATGCTGTTGCTCTAAAATCACATTCATTTTACAGAACTCATGAAGCATACAGCAAATTAAGAGCAAATGACATTATTTTCTGGTTAAATTTGCAAAGGGATGATCTGAATGAATTACTCATATTCCCGATTAATTTTAGTGGAAATAATGAGGAGGTTGTAGGGGAAAAACATGTGCTTACAGAACCTGCCTTTCAAGCACAATTTATGCTAATTACAGCTTCACAAATAAGGTAATCTTAGAAAAACTTCTTTAGGAGCTTAAACGCATCTAATGGGATAGCTACGCAATTCTCATTTAATGATATGTAAGTTTTAATTGACTTGAATTCTACTTTACAGCGCTCTCTCTCTGTCTCTGTCTCTGCCTGTCTCTCTCTCTGTCTCTCTCTCTGTCTCTCTGTCTCTCCATCTCTCTGTGTCTCTCTCTCTCTCTCTTTGTCTCACCCTCTCTCTCCATCATTAATTGACTTACTTGCTTTATCCAGAATTGGTAAGTATATGAGGAAATGGATAACAAGAGTCCATTAGTTCAACAAGAAACTGTTTTCAGAAGGTCATTAGGAAAGAAAAATTAAATTCTTAAAACCACGGACAGCTTATGAACCAAGAATTAGTTTTGAGAATTTAACCTAAATAAATAATCATCGATGCATACAGATTGAGCAGGAAGCTGAAATACTGCTTTAAAATCCAAGGAACATCCATGCACTGTAATACTACATAACCACAAAATAGATATATCTGTTTAATGAGGATGAAGTACGTAGATACAGTAGAATGTGTTTTTTACCAAAAGCTAGTTATAAACAGTGTGTTCAGTCCAATTCTATTTCTATATCCACATGTCCATAAAATTCTGGAAGCTACCATACATAATCAAAAATCAGCAATGGGCATACCCCGTGTGCCAAGAATCTGGGTGACTTGCCTTGCTCCAGCTGTGCTGTGTTGTCTGCCATTTTCTGGTGATGCACAGTAAATATGACTGCTGTTGTTTTTTATGGTGGTTTCTGATTCTCTAAATACTATCCAATTATATCATTTTCTATTCCTTCTCAATCTCCTCTTCAAGTTTGCTTTACTTAGACACACACACACACACACACACACACACACACAGAGGAGGGGAACAAACAAGTAAAGAGGAAAATGGATGTAGCTATTTTTGGATAATCATCAGCTACAGGCAATTTCATCAGTCATTGCTACGATCAGTCTGGATCAATTAATGTGCTATTAATATCACTAATGATGATCTGATTGTTAGTAGCAATAATGATGATAGCTACTCTCACTGAAACTGTTCACATGATGGATTGTGCTGACCATATGACAAGCATATCTGAGACCTTAAAAGAAAACTCGAAGGTAAATACTGTCGCCTTCCTCATTTTACAAAGGAAAACCTGGAGCTCGGGGACACTGAGAGCTTTGTTCTCCTCCCAAGGCTAGAGTGTTTCTGAGTTGATGTTGGAACTAGGTCCCTGATGGCACTGACCTTTATCTCTGCACTATCTGTGTCTACTTACATACTGGGAAGATTAACCAAGATTTTCCAAAAACAGAAAAATAGCAGAAGGAGAAAAATTGTAAGAAATTGGCTTCTGTAATTATGAAGGCTGACAATTCACAAGATCTTCAGTCCTAAGACTGACAGCCTAAGATTCAGGAGAGGTAAAGGTGTAAATAGGAGTCTGACTTAGAAGGCAAGAGAAGATAACATCTTAGTGCAAGACCATAAAGCAGTGGGACAGAATTCTCCCTTACCTGCCTTTTGTTGGATAATGGTCTGCAGCCAATTGGATACGGCTCACCTTTGCATGCAGGGCAAGTTGCTGTGCTCAGTCTAACAATTTAAATATTACCTCACCCAGAAATACCCTCAAAGCTGCACCAGAATAATCTTTAACCAGGTATATGGGCAACCCTTGTCCCACACATGTGGAGTATCCCAAGCTCTTAATTCACCCCAGGTCTCCCCAGAACACTGGTCATCATCACTTCCAAAATCATTTACAAGTGCAGCTCTAGATTCTCATGCATGCTTAGTTGGCTACTGTGGCCAGCATTTTCTCCTTCCTTTGCCACTGTGAGCCAGCCAGCCCTCCAGGCACACGTGGACAACTGCCTGTTCTGGTGGCACAGTCAGGCAAAATAAATAAATAAACACGCAAACAAACAAATAATCAAATCCTGGGTGGAGTCAAAAGTAGCTCAATGAGTCAAAAATTTCATGAATGAGAAAATTATATGATATGTGAATTCCAGCATCTATGAATAATATTTATCTTTTGGGACACAGGTTTTCCCATTTCACTGCATTTTTCTGCAGCCATTTCTGTGCCACAGTGGCAGGGAAGCGGCGGTCAGAGAGTCCACGAGGACTGACACATTTACTATCCGACCCTTTACAGGAAGTTCTGATGACCCTTGCTCCACAACCCCAGCCTGCAGCATGCACAAATCCTTTGAGAATTATCTGGAGCTGCTTTGGGAAAGGTCACATTACTGGCATGCTTTGCTTCCCTCTTTAAGTCCAACTATCCCATAGGTTTAGATCATAAGCATTGTATGTGAACTATCTTAACCTTACTATCCTAATCTTACTTATCCTAATCTTACTATCTTAATATCCTAATCAAACTATCCTAATCTTACTTGTCCTAATCTTCCTATCTTCCTATCCTTATCCTTATCCTAATCCTAATCTTACTATCTTCCCTAATCTACTTGTGGTTTTATCTCCTTCCAAACATGAAGCTCTGTGTAGATGTTTGCAAGTATGAATACGTAATTTGCTTTAACTGTGTGCATTCATTTAAGACTTCATTAATTTACCCTCCTTTACTAACAAAGTAAGGAAATTCTGGGTGCAACCTATAGTATCTAGCACTGTGTCACAGCATAGCTGTCCGGAGGGCCTACTGTGCGTGTTCACATGTTCCTGGCATCTTTATGCACTGAGCAATGCATGTGTAGCATGTCAGGTTTTCTTTGGTGTGCAGAATGCTGCTATTTCAACTGTGATTCACTGCCAACAGCTGGCAACTGCATAGTACTAAACAGACTCAAATCTTTAGCTTCCCTTGAGAAATCCAGAGGTCTATCCCTACAGAACCCACAATCTCCTCACCGCAGCTGACTGGTATTGGCATTTTGATATTTCATTCCAGTTTACCTTAACCCTCTTTTCTTATTTTTCTTCTCTCTGCAGCCTCTGACAGCATTTGAAATGATAACTTTTTTTTTTTTTCTTTTTTTGTCTTTTTGAGACAGGTCTCACTATGCAGTTCAGGCTGGTCTTGAACTCACTGTGTAGCCCAGGCTGGTCTTGAACTCACTTTGTAGCCCAGGCTGGTCTCAAACGCCAAATGATCCTCCTGCCTCAGCCTCCCGAGTGCTGGGTTTACAGGTGTACACCATCACACCTGGCTACTGATAACTTCTGATACATATATTTATATGTCCATCTGAGATAACCCACTGTGTCTATCGATGACATACACGCCCAAACTGATTTTTAATATAAATATACACATACAATAACTTAATCACAAAGCAGATGAATAAAAGAATGAATGATGAGAACAGATTTTTTTTTTTTAACCAACTTACCACTTAGGGAATTCCTAGGATGGAATTTAATCCATGCGATACACTATTGAGCTGCAGATGTAAAGCACCTGCTTAACTAATGCTGGTCATGTAGTCCAACACAAAAATTCCCAGATTGCACTCTACAGCGGTATATGCTGGGTTAGGAGGGAGAAATTCCAAACGTACCATTGAATTTTTCACGCTTTGGAGCAAACGCTCATGCTGCTCCGCTATGGCCAAAGCGGCAGAGTGAACTTTCTGATAGATGGCCTCCCCATCTCGGGTTTGAAAGATAAACAGCCCTTCACCAGTCTCACACATCCTGTGAAGACAAAAAACAAGAGGCTTCTGAAAACCCAGGTCCCAGGGGTTCAATGTGCTAAGATCTCACACCCATGTGACTTTTTAAAATAAGATAAGGATTCTTGTTCGCATTTGCTAAACAAAGTTAACTCGAATCAAAACACTCAAAGGATCCAACTATTATAAATATGCACAAAGAACTAGTCACTCAAGGCTGAGACAGAATTCTGCGTGTTGTGTTTTTGTTTTTATCCCCCGGCAAAGCACAAGATGAGGAAAAGAGCCATTTCTTGACTCTTAGTATAATCCCTCTACGCCACTTTTACTCCCAGGCAGGAAAAGGGTGGGCAACTGCATCCCTCATCCTAGTCTGCGGACAATTTATCAGAAACCATGCCGGTCAGCTCCAGATAGAAGTTGAATTCTTCAGCTCTTCCATTCCATTCTCTTTTCTGCCACAGGCAAGATTCTTTCATTGTTAAAATCCTACATGAAATTATTTTTCCAGGTTCCACCCAACTTGATGGATTAAGTGCAGCCTTTTTTTTCTCATGAGCATGGTTGCACTGAATTACAATGTGGAACATAAGGGACATTCTTTAAAGGAAGCTGGGTAGATTTGATAGCTGACTTCAGGTATGGCAAAGAAGGTCCCCCTATAAGCCAGACCATGAAAAACTGGCAACAAATTTCATTGCTAAGACTGCCACACACTTAAGCCAAAACAAAACGACTGCTTTTTAATTCAATGTATATTGCTATATTAGCATTTATGGGCCAGGGATGTAGCTCAGAGGCATAAGCACTTGCCTGGCAAGCCTGAGGTCATGAGTTCGATTCCCAGTACCAAAAAAAAACCCAAATAAATAAACAAATAAATAAAAACATTTATATACACATATGCACACTAAAATGTAATGACAATATTTTTAAAGAACTTGGACAAAATCATACACAGGGACATTGAAAAAAACTTTGACTTTGGTGGGTACTTATGGCCACAGTAGAAAAGAGAAGGGTGGTTTTGTGTTTGTTTTAAAGGATCTAATTGCTTGAATCCTCTTCCTTCTTCTTCCGGAATCTTGGCAAACACTGAGCACTGGCTTTACTGACCATTGTGCTCACATCTTAAAAACTGCTGAACACAACATGGAAACGAAGCAAATATTCTCATCAAACCACTGTTCAATTTTTTAAATCTACATCAATACATGCAATTAACGTAAAACAAGGAAGCTTTGCCGCAATCTAGTTTTTCAGTCCAATCAACACAGTATCATATGTTTGTGCGGCAGTTTTCAGCATATGTAGCAGGATCTATGGAACTCGCTAAAGTGTGTTTAGGTTAAATTTCATGACTATGAGCTATGTGGGAATTCAAGAAATAAAGAAGTGACAGCGCTTGCAATAATGTAATATATGAATTCATTCCTGAAGTAGATCGTGTGGTTTTAGTTATTACAGAAGTTTAATGTGATGAAGAATAAAAACTACCATTCAAGGCATTTTTCAATGAAGTCTCATTTCTTTCCTGAGGATCTCTCATGATACTTCAACCCCTTTGGCCACTTGTCCTGCACCTGAGCTGCCACACAAACTTGATTCCATGACTTGATACTCAGTTCTACAAGGTTTTATGGTTTTCACACATCTTTTTCCCCACAGAAATACTAATTCTTTAAGAAGAAGAAGTAGACGTCTGCTTCTCTTGGGGCAGGAGTTACTGTGTGTTTTCTTCCATGCTAACTTTCGTTCCAGAACAGATGAAGGTACTTGTTACTGGGAAACACTTGTGAGAGGACTGATTAGTACCCCACTGTGCAGCTGTGGTTCCCACACCTGACCATCCAGTGGCCTTGAATTTTTCTTAATCAAAACCCACAGTAAGAAGCACAGTTTAGATTGTGACCCAGTGCATCCGTCTGCTTTTGGTTCTATCCTCAGTCTCTCACATGCTGATGTTTTCTCTGTCTTAACTTTTGATACCAGTGTTGGAATGCTTTGTCCATATTATGACTCATGAACTGGCTTTTTGAAAAATCACCCTTTCATCCAAAGTCTGCCTTTGATAAACAATTTCATATATGTTTTAATGACATTTAAATCTCTAAAACAAATCAGAAACAAATGAAATCTACACATTACTGTGTCAAGCATTCTTCTTTGACTTACACAGACGACTCTCACCTATACCTAAGGGTCTTAAGACACATTCTCTCTCCTTCTCTCTCTCTCCCTTTTTCTCTCTCTCTCCACTTGAAGAAAGAACCAGGAATCACAATCTCAAACTCCATCAGAGCTCAGGCAGAGAAAGTGATGGATGACTTTACTCCAACCCTCATCAGCATAGAATGGAGAGTGTGGGTCTTGTTTACATCTTGTAGCCAGGAGTCAGCCCTAGCCGGGTATTTATATGAAAGGACAGGAGTCTAATGGAGCCACAGCATCTCATCATTTCACAGAAGCCAGAAGTCTTGACTATTACACAAACTCACCTGAATTTTAAATGCTGGTTCCTTTTCTTAAACTATGAAAGCCAGAACTGCTTGGTCAACCAGAGCTGGCCAAGAGGTCCCTAGTGTGCATGAAAAAGACAAAATGCATTCATAATCTCTGAATAGAGCAGAAATGGGATTTTGGTTTCAACGAGCAGCACTTTTGTCCACCTGGTCAAGAAAGCGTGACCCTCAGTTGGCCAGCATGACCCAGGCAATCGTGGACGAGCAAACACTGGCCTTCGCTTGCCCTTCCCTCAGGTATCCTCTAACCTCTACCCACAAGCTCTTCCATCGCACTCACTTTGCCCAATTGGTTTTCTGGGAACTGTTTCATAAGCAGCTCTACAACCCATTAAGTGTTAGGATGGGCCTTTCTCAAAACAATGTAGTGGACTAAAGTCCCGAGGCAGTAAGAAGAAAATAAGGGGAATAAAAAAAGAAGAGAAAGCAAGTGAAAAGAGAAGCACATCATCCAGGCTAATGGTTTTACATAACCTAATGCTGGGATATGTATTCCTCATCTCCAGGGAAAATGCAACACAAAACAAAGATGTTCTGATGGGTTGACCGACAGAAGAATAGCGAATCCACGTGCTTTGAATTTTTATGGTCCCGATGATTCTTTCTTTTTCTTTAGCTACTGCGTTTTCTTCATGGTTGCTTTCCTGAAGAGGTCTCAAACAAACCAGCACTGTCTTATGACCTTACACTCACAGAACCCAGTGGATTGGACACCTGTGAGGTAAATAATGAAGTTAGGACTCACCTTTCTTTTTTTTTTTTTTTTGGTTTTTCTCCGGTACCGGGAACCGAACTCACGACCTTGCGCTTGCCAGGCAGGCGCTTTTGCCACTGAGCTAAATCCCCAGCCCCCAGGACTCACCTTTCTGATGCTCCCTAGGAGGATAAGGATTCAGATGGTGTAAGAATAATGTGGTCACACAGATGCAGTTACAGTTTTGAATTTGTCTGTAATTATTTTCCCTAAATGACAGATCTGTCACTCCAAACACATATATTCCCATGAGTGAAGAATCCTGAAGAGAATGAGAGCTCAGAAAATACTAGGAAATTCACTAATTCATCTATACTGACTCCCACCAAGTCAGTGGCATAAGGGGCAAGAATTTAAGCTCAGGATTGCCTGGTTGGGCTAGCCCTGCAATTCCAAGTCATTTCACCTCTCCATACGTGCCTTTTCATTTGTAAAACAGTCATAAAAATGCTCACCTCAGATTTTTCACAAGTATTAAATATGATATAGAGTATACAATGAAGTCTTCCCAAAAAAAGGAACTTCTGTTATTCCATGGGAATACAAGCTCCGAGTAGATAGGGAATTTTTCAGATTTGTCCATAGGTTTTCCTCTACCGACTAGATGCCAGGAATACCTCCAGCCCAGTTGTGACAATCAAAAATGTGTCCAGACATTAACAAATGACCCCGACAGGCAAAATGTCTCTTCCTATTGAAAGTCACTGAAATAGACCAAGCGCAGGAACACAAGGGAGAAAATGAGTTATGCTTAAGCGGTGGAGACTGCGTAGATAAGGCAGCTTCCGAGTTCACCACACATGGGACCTTCTGCAGCTGTGTGTCTTCCTTGCCTGCCTTCCTGTTCCGATCACTGGTATCTGCCTGGCTGACCTCATCTCCAGGCAAGGCAGCATGTGCTGCCCAGAAATGAGGGCCCCCACCCCCTCCCTGCTCTGGGGCTGTTTTCTGAGCCCTTGCTGTGAGCATCAGTATGAGAAAGGGATGTAAGATGCCTGATCATTTTGTTCCACACCACTCGGTGTCCTGAGCCACTCAGTGGATGCTGACAAGCCAGTTCTTGTCAATGTCCATTAATCACACACAGCTTCGGTTATGGTTGCCCATTCTCCGTGATCCTTTTTATATCAAATCACTTTTTTGCCCCTTGAACAAATGTGCTATAAATGGAATCCTCAAATCAATGTTACAAGCTAATATGCTCCAGCCTGGTATAGTGGTGCATGCCTGTAATCTCAGCACGCTGGGAGGCTGAGGCAGAGGATTGCAAGTTTAGCCAACTTACCAAGATGCTATTTCAAAAGAAAAAACAAAAAGGAGCTGAGATGTGGGTTCAATCACAATAACTCAGTGGGTTCAATCACAATAAATAAATAAACAAACAAACAAACAAATAGGCTTGTGTGAGCTGCCATATATTGGAATGGAAGGCAGATATAAAAATGAAAATAAAACTGTTATTAAGCTCTGTCTCTGTGCTTTTGCTATCAAAAGCCTGAGCTGGAAATCTGTTTTCTTGGTAACAGGTAAATTAGAAATCTTCACTAAAGATGCGTGTAAGAACTGCCGGCACCTGGTTGTAATATTTCTCCATGATTTAATCAAAGTGATTGGAGGAATTGAAAAGAAAGGCTTTATCTCTGGGAGATTCACATTTAAAGTACGCCTGCTCTGGCTGGTGTCCGATGGTGCCCGCCTGTAATCCCAGCACGCGGGAGGCTGAGGCAGGAGGATCGTTGTGAGTTC